GCCTGGCGGCTGGCGGAGACAGGGGCTACACAGCTGGAGAAACATATACCCTGGCCGCCTGCAGCAGCAGAACATGTTCACCCATTTAGACTCCACAACAGCAACAACAGCAATGCCACCAACAACCACAATGCTTCACACTCAGCTGCAGCAACACTTGCTGCTGCTGGTTCTGCTGCTCCTGCTGCTGCTGTCGCACAAAGCGGCAGCCTATGGCCATCGCGCAAGTCCTCCGCTGTGGACGGAAAGTCCGCTGGGGGGGCCCCTTGGGAGCCATCAGGGGAGATGGTCTCGGTTGCTAATGGGGGCCCCCTGGGGGGGACTAGGGGCCCCCAGGAGCCGCCGACTGGGTCCCGTACCCCGTGGTTTGGTGGGGACAACTGGATGAGTGGAGGAGCTGAAGAGAGACTGAGGATGGGGGGTTTTCGCTACAAGGAGGGGAAGGGAGGCGGTGCACTGTCTCCTTTTAATAGGAGGAGACAGTGGAGAGTTGGTGGTGGTGTTGGTGGTGTTGGTGGTGGTGGTGGTGTTGGGGGAGGAGGAGCCGGAGGAGTAGGGGGTGATGGTGAGGGTGTTGCTGGTGAGAGTGATAGTGAGGAGACAGATCGTCCCCCTTTGTTTAGCTGGGACTTGAGTGTAAATTTAGTATTAGTGGGGGCTGGGCTGTCTCTTATAGACAGCAAGCCAGCAGAGATATTCTATGGATCTGTAGAGCTGCTTCAACTTGCTTATAATTCTTCACAAGAAGGAGAAAAACTCAGACTCAGTGTACGCTGGGTACAGATAGATAACCACGCACCCCTGGCTTACTACCCCACCATGCTACGCCCCATCACAGACATGCAGGCTAGCGTCAGCGACGGAGACACCTCCCGCAAAGCAGCAACAGCAGCAGCAGCAGCAGCAGGAAGAGGAACAGCAGGAACAGGAGCAGGAGGAGGAGGAAGAAATACTCAAGGGACAGCAGGAGACAGTTCGCGCCAGGCTGCAACCCAAAGACAGCAGCACAACACCGGGGGCCCCCACGGCCTTGGCCCTGTCTCCCCCCGCATAGGAGGGAGACGGCAGGCGCGTGCTGGCCTGGGGTACTTACACCAGGGAGAGAGTGAAGAACGTGAAGGTGTAGATATTGGGTTTGGTGTTGGGGGCCCCCCAAGCGGGTTGGGGGCCCCCTGTTTGTCTCCTTATGGTAGCATTGGGGGGCATGCAGGGGGGTCTCAGTCTCCGTTACCTCTGGAGGAGACAGATGAAGCTCGCGCACTGCATGCAGATAGAGAGAATTTGAAGCTGTTAGGGGACGATGAAGCTGTAGCTCAGGTGTTGTTAGAGAGGAGAAGCAGTGTAGATGGCCGGGGGCTTACAGTAATACCACAGTGTGTATTAAGACTTTCTCCTATGTCCGTGAATATTGACTTTCAGCTTGCTTTTGCTTTATTACTTTTTGTTGATGATCTCTTACAAACTGCCGACTTTGATTTGTTACAACAAAGTGTCAAAGATATTCGAACTTCAGAAACAGATACTAATAGTACAAGCTGGAAA